TTCTGAAGCAGTTTCTACTGTAGAGCTCTTTTCCTTGGTATTATTGAAAACATCCTCCTTCAGTTTTTCTTTCTGGCATTCCTCTGCTCTTTGGGGTGGAGGAGGCATTAGCCTAGCTCTCCTCATTCCTATTATTTCCTTTTGCCCCATACAATAGTGTATGATATACCTGGTAACCTGGATTACCTAACCTAGATTTTATTTTATTTATTTATTTATTTATTTTTAAAATATGGTTTCTTTCTTTTTTTTTTTAAGATTTTATTTATTTATTTATTTGAGAGAGAGAATGAGAGAGAGAGACAGAGCACATGAGAGGGGGGAGGGTCAGAGGGAGAAGCAGACTCTCTGCCGAGCAGGGAGCTCGATGGTGGAACTCGATCCCGGGACTCCAGGATCATGACCTGAGCCGAAGGCAGTCGCTTAACCAATTGAGCCACCTAGGCACCCTAACCTAGATTTTAAAGGGTCTGATAATTTAGAGCCATAACTATTTTTGATACTCTTATTAATCTCCTTATAGGTATGCTATTATTTTGAAACTGAGAATAGGATTCAGTTGATGAGTAGATATAAAATGCTCTATAAATCCAAATTGCAGTATAGATTTTCAGAGAATGGAAGTATAACTATGCTGTAAAATATACAAAACCACAGTGTAAATAGAGGTAACTTTATTGGGAATAAATTGCATCTTATAATATTTTAACTGTCTTTTAAGTGAGCCAACTGTTATTCTCATTATCATCTCTCTCTATTTTTTCCTTCCCCTGTCATCATTTTCCCAGACTCTGGATCCTCTTGCTTAGGCTTACCTATCATCATGTCCACACTGCCATGACAACAGCAGGTCAAAATAAACAAGGAATGGGGTGCTCCTCCCAGGGAACTATTGTCCCTGACTGGAATTTCAGCTGTAACAGATGCATTGATATTCAATGAGCCACCTGGGAAGACTCCAGTCCTTCCCTGTATCTGAGGAGTGCTACCATCCACCCTCCCTGAGGAGTTAGTACACATAGAACACAACACTCTTCTCTTCACACTTAAGTAAATAACACTGCAACTTTTGACCTCTAAGAGGGAAAACTCATTGTCTACAGTGCATGAGAGTCTCATGCAGGAAGTCACTGAGGAAAGCTTGAACAATTTAGATTCAAGTGTCATTTAGAGCGTACCTATTGCCTGAAAATGGAATTTCCCCTTCCCTCAGTAAATGCACAGCACAGATGTATGCTCCCAAACCCACAGAGATGAAGAGAGAGAAAGGAAAAGAAAGCCAACAGCTCATGCATGAAAGCATTTTCTGCACAGTAAAACATGATAAGATTGGATCTACAAAGAAGGTACCCGTTAAAGCAAAATGGCTTGCTGACAAAGATAAACAGATAAAGAAGACTTTATTCACAACTGTTGCAATAGGAGAGAGAGGCTAGAACCCACAGGAGCTCAGCTCCACTGAAACAAAGTGCTAGAGAGTTTGTAGGAGCTGAGATGGAGGGGGTCATAGGCTAACTGTGTTTGTTAACTGTCCTTTCCCACAGGAAAACTAAACTTTCTTGTATCTTCATGACAGAGAGTAGTTTCACCAGTTAGAGCAAGGGTCTCACCCTCTTATGGAAACTGGGAGATAGGAGTGCTTTCTTCATTGATGATTATATTTTAAAGAGATGGTTTACACATTCTTGAGAAAGACATTTCTGGGGTTGTAACACTGACAAGAACTTGGAGACTATTTATATACATTTCAAAGGAGTAGAAAAGGAATTCATGAGTTTTCCAAAGTAAGTGCTGTAAAGAAAGGGAAGTCAGGGGCATAGAGGTAGGAAGAAGCCTGTCTAAAGTTTGGTCAATCTGGGGGAAAGATTAAGGCCATCTTAGTTACATTCTTGGAGCATACCTCCTACCTCCATCTATTAGCTTCTTCACAGAAAGAAATATCTGCCTTGACATCATTCTGGATGTGATATGGTCCACTTAACATATATGAAGGAGGCCGATGTCTACGGAGGTTGAATTGAAGCCATTGCTACCAGCTTGTCCTTTGTGGCCTTTTGGTTGGTTTAAATTCCCTCTTTTAGCCATTCATCATCTTGGGTTAATCTTTACTTTTACCTTGGCATTTTCTTCTTCTTCTTCTTTGTCTTTTTTTAAGATTTTATTTATTTATTTGAGGGACAGAAAGAAAGAGAAAAAGAAAGAGCAGAGGGAGAAGTGGACTCTCCACTGAGCAAAGAGCCTGATGTGGGGCTTGATCCCAGGACCCTGGGATCATGACCTGAGCCAAAGGCAGATGCTTAACCAACTGAGCCACCCAGGTGTTCCTTGGCATTCTCTTCTTATAAACAAACATACTTTTGATTATATGTATATTCGTGTATATACATATATATATATTTATTACATATTATATATCTTTATGAATGAATGTATTTATTTATTTCCTGTGGAAAGAAGATCAAGAATGGCCTGCTTAGACCATACTGCCTAGAGCATAAAGAAGATTAAAGGTGCACAGGAAGAAGGGAAAATAATATTTGCTACATTTTTACTATGAGTCAGGCACAGTCTTAAGCCTCTACTGTTACTTATTCAATCCTTACAAGGACTGTATAAGGTAAGTATGATGGTCTTCACTTAAAATAGAAGTGAACCTAGAAAACTGAAATCACTTAAGACCATGCAGCTAGTAAATGGCAGAGCTGGGATTCTGACATGAGGCTGTAATGAGTCTGCTGCCTCCAGTTTTGATGTTGGACCACTGACAGCTTTGAGGCACCACCCTCCACCTTTCCCTTTGCCCCACATCTGAGCAAGTCAATATAAAAGCAGAATCAAATCATACAAACATCTGGGCACAATACCTCTTAACCACAATAAATATCAAAACCACTTGACTCTCCCTTTTCTCGAGCTGCTCTCAGCCAGCTTGGGTGCCCACCCTGCTCTACTTAAAAAAAAAAAAAATTCCCATTATGTGAGTAATAAACTTTTTTATACCCTCCTGGTGATGCATGATGTCATTAGTCTTGATATTTGAATTGATTTTGGGTGTCGGATTGATTTCTCCTTCTGCAGGCAGGGCAACCACAAAACAGAGGCAATGCAAAATGGAAAGGGGAAGTGGGGCCACTGGACATACACATGACCACTTCATACTACCCTGGCCAACATTCTACATGTACCTTAGCCACATACCCCTGCCGTGCTATGAATAGTACTCAGGAAGAAAAAGTGTGTGTTGGGGGGAGGCTCATTTGCAATAGAACCTGTTAAAACATAATTTGCACTGATTCTGTATGTTAGAATTTTGGTTCATCTTTTCCGTGCACTTTTGGTTCCTAACAATTATAAGCTGTAGCCCCTTAAGATACTGTGAACCAAAGTAAGCTTTATTGTAGGAAAGCACTGTTTAAACGGTTGAAGTCCTGTTTCTTCCTTCTCTATTCTGTTGTTATGAATATAATGAATTTTTAACAAATAGAGGGCCTATTGCTGAGCTGGAAGACAAATGCTATGTTGCAGTAGTAAAAGCAGAGCATCTCATGCGTCTTCTGAAAGATTTAGTCAAAGAATTGTCCCTGTGGGTAATGAACATCTGTTTTATTTAGTTTCCCCTTCTCCAGTTCTCTGATAACAGAACTGATTTTCCTCTGAGGAAGCTATTCCATATGTTTCAGCAAAGCTAAGGCTTTAACTTCATAAAATCTGCCCCAAACACAGGGGCGGACATAGAATCCAGGCTTGAAGTCTAAAAATACAATATCCTCCTGAACCTAATGGTGTGTTTAGAAATGGGCACGTGGCTAAATTCAGGCTCCTCTTTGAGAATCTTCTGCTAGACCTTTAACATGATGACGGGGTACCTGGGTGGCTCAGTCCATTAAGTGTCTGCCTTTGGCTCAAGTCTTGATTCCAGAGTCCTGGGATTGAGCCCCACGTTGGGCTTCCTGCTCAGCAGTGAGTCTGTTTCTCTTCCTCTGACCCTCTGCCTGCTTGTGCCCTCTCTTTCTTTCTCTCTCTCTCAAGTAAATAAATAAAAATCTTAAAAAAAAAATAGACCTTTAACATGATGGCATTTCTCGCTGGTGTTGCAAGGTTGGTAGGGTGCGGCAAAAGGTTATCACACTGAAGCTAGATTACCTGACCAACAGAAAAGGACACAGGTCTCTAAGATATAACTCCTGAAGCCAGTTATTTTTGGAAGTTTTAGTTAACATAAGCCAATTAAATTCCCCTTTTCTTCCTAAGCTAGTCTGAGTTGAGTTTCATTACTTGTGGTCAAAAGTTTACGTTGTTTATATATACTGTGTAATGAAAAATGTACTAGGTAAAGAGAGCAAATAATTTATTGTCCAAATCAGGACACTTTTGAAAGTTAAACCGGATACGATTCATACTTACACAGGGCAACAGGTTACCCTGGAACTGTCCCAGGCCAACCAGGACATGTGTTAACCCCAATAATTAGGTTTTACCATACCATATTGTATGTCTTCTAAGCCTTGTAGTAGCTTCCTCCATGCGCATAGATGATGATGATGATGATGATGATGATGATGATTAACATTTATAGGCAACTCATTAATAAGTTTTATTTGGGAACAGAAAGGGGAGGTCAGCCAGGCACTTTTCATTGTGGTTTTATGCAGTTAAGTCCCTCAAAGAACAAATAGTGAAATCAAGTCATTTCTCCTGGAATTTTTCCTTCTTCTTTTTCTTTGTTGTAAGGTTATACAGAAAGGTATGAGTATATGGGCATTATAAAAGAGAAGGGATATCCTGTGAGGGAGGAAATGAGACAATAAATCCAAAAAAACCATGAAAATTAAAAATCCGAACTTGGGGGAGGGTGGGAAGCAAAGCATTTCTCACAGAGTCCTTACACACCATGCAATTGTCCTCAAAAGTGGGAATGGAAAAAACCAGATACTCAGCTGCAGAACGAAGTTGTGGTCTTGGCTTTATAGCTTTTATTGTCTTTGGAATTGGGCGGGGCATCAAGTGCCTTTTCCGGAATAGGCCAGAGAAGATAAGTGCAATTTGGCTTTTAAGGCTTTAGTCAGCCCCGTGGCCAGCGCCCATGGAGGGAGTGAGAGTACACCCATTCTTCCCAGTCCAGTCGCAGCCCTGGGGCCCACTGGAGAGTGAAGATACCCAGATTTGCTTGTTTGGGGTCTGCTTGTTGATCACGTAGGTTCCTAGATCTCCACCTAGTTTAACTGTTAAAACACCACTCCCAAACGAGACATCATAGTCTTTGAATGGGTAAGGTTTGTATGCGATGTCTTCAAAAAACTCTGCTAAGGAGTCCAGTGTCTTCTTTGCGGGTCTTTCATAGGCGGTCTCATCCAGAGAGCCAGGGTCTCCCAAAGTTCCCGCTGTCCTCAGAGTCATCAAAGGGACACTCTGCTTTCCGACATTCACAATCGGATTGAGGCGGTGGAGGCTCAAGCTAGCGCGGCTGGGTACGTGGGTCGCTCCGGTCCCAATGCCCAGGCCCCGGCGGCGATTGATTGTATTGCTTTAAGCCACCGAGTTTGTGGTAGTTGGTTGTAGGGGCTGAAGGCTTGAGTTGGGATGTGTCAGGAAGAGCAAGTGTGGGAGCTCTGGAGGAAATGAGCTGCTGTGGCCCATGCTGCCTTGGAGTTGGCAGTGCATTCCTTCCCTGGGTGCTTCTCCCTTGCGTCTGGCTGGAGCAGCTGGGGACATGACCCTCAGTGCCCCCGTCCTCTGTGAGCTGGATACCGCTATTTGGAGTAGCTGTCGTAGGTGGAGAAATGAAGGAGGCTACTTCTTCAGGCCAGGAGGCAAAACGGACACACAGCCATGCTGTGGTAGGAGAAACACTGCCAAGAACCCAGGCTCCTGAGGAGCAATGCTGAAGGGTGGCCAAAGGGGAGAGAAGCACTGACCTCCACCTGGGGGTGTGGCCTCTAGCCGCTGGCTAGGGGAGCGGGTGCAGGGGGGGGGAGGGTCTCTCCCAGTCCCTGCAGTGACACATGAATCCTTCCTACCTAGAGCCAGAGGTCCCACCATTCCTTTTGCCTTGAGCTGCTCCTCCTGACTCTGTGTGACCCCAGAACAGAGTGATGCAGACTTCTGTGTGGGGGGGGCAGTGCAGGGGTCCCCAGCTGTGGGCTCAGATCTCCAGGAAGCAGCTGCATGATTATCTGAATCCTGGGCGTCTGCTGCAGAGGGGCGAACAGCAGCTGCAGAACCACCGGACCAAAGGTGAGCCCCAGTTTTTTTTGCAAAAAACTCCATATCACTTTATTTCAACCTTTCTCCAAAAATGTAAAAAGTATTAAAAATGTGCAGTCCTGAGCTTCAGATGCTGATCTCCAATCTCATAGGCAAGTGGGGAGAGAGGGTGAGGACAGAAGTTCAGAATTCCTCCCAATCCTGGAGAAAAGGGAAGTCCCAGGTAGGGCATAAGATTAGAAAAATACCAGGGCTCTATGAGGGATAGGACCACCCTCTCTCCTAACACCAGCCCAAGACCCCACCCACCCACCCATCCTCTTCAACAGAGAAGACACATTTAAAGTTCTTGAAGCTTGTACAGGAACATGGTGCATGGCACATGTAGCCAGGTGACCAAGGAGGCTAGGGCCTACCCCCTGCCTCTTGGCAGGCAGGATGGGACACCACTCAGCTTCCTCCTGCTCACTACCTTCTTCTTCACTCTCTTCTTGCTCAGAAACATCATTGCTTATAGTAACAATCTGGTGCCTCCCAGTGATCCGCACAGGGCCAGAACCTGACTTCAGGCGGAAGGTTACAGGTGGCTGGAGCTGGAAGTCATCCAAACTGAGCATGGGTTGGCAGGACAACTTGAGGTTGGCTACAGGGACTGCAGTCTCCGGTGGTCATGATTCCTGGCCACGACTTCTACCCCATTACACTCATCTTTGGCCCCCTCAGTGAGGCAGAGCATGTTCAAAGCCAGCACATGCTCCGAATCATCCTCTTCTTCTACCTTGAAGGTGAAAGAGCGGGTGTGGCCGGAGAGCTCACAGCAGAAGAAAAAACTGTCCATAGTGACCAGAGCCGGGACCCGCGGACCCCCGATCCCTCCGGCCCGGGCTCGGCTCTCCTGACTCAGGAACGCTAAGGTGGCAGCGGCGCCGGCGGCCATGCTGCAAGGGCCGTCCTTTTTTTTTTTTTTTTTTTGAGCATTCTGAATGATTTTATTACAGGCGAAAAATAACAGATCCAACTGTAAGTAAATAATTCAAGAAGGATGATAAAGTCTCATTGACCTCAGCAGAGATATAGACTAGGTTATATTTGAGACGGTCCATTCTGAATGGAAGTGAGTGGCAGGGAGTGCTTTCTTGTCTCCTCACTGCAGTTTCTGGCTTAGAATACTACAAATCTGAATATATAAAAATAGCTTTGTAATACACTGGTATTTTCTGCTTTCATCTGAATATTGCCCTTTAACACAGATCCTCCGATATGTGCTGACAGGTTGCTCTTCAGCTTTCCTTATAAATTATATTTACAGACAATAGCAGACTGGGGGTGCCCATGTGAATGAATTATTTTCAACATTTGTCTTATTCAATTGGCATTTATTGCAGTGGCTTCTAACCTATGGCATGTATCAGAATAATTTAAGGAGTTTGTAAAAGTGCATGCCTAGATCTCAACCCGATGGACCCAAACAGAATTTCCTTAAGTGTTTATTTTTATATTCTTTGAAGACATTATAAAATACACAAAAAGCTGAAAACAGTTGATTTACCGAGTCAACTGCTATTGACTAATATAATTTGAAATAGTCCCCAAATATTGCTACTTTTGTAACAGATTTGATACCCTTGTGGTTCTATCTCTGTCATGATACCCATGTTCCTATGGTGGTACATAGAGGTGAGCCATGCCAAAAAAGCTCAAAGATTTTCCTTAAAAGTGCATTAAGTAATGCTAAATATGAGATTTATTACTCATACTAAAATGCTGACTATTTCAGGAAATTGCCAGTCTGTCTTAGGCTGGATGGCATCTCATCAAATTTGATGTCATCTGTTTGCTGACTGGGGAGACAGAAAATATTGCTGTTCTAGCCTACTTTATACAAACATTAAATTGAACCATCTGAAATTAACTGTTTTTCTAGGTCAAAAATATCTGAATGCTGGCAATTCCATATGGTTTAACCTGCTAAATGAATTTATTGGTAAATAAACTAAAATCAAACAAGCTAAATTATTCTAGTGCTTTTTTAAAAGTGAAATTTAATAAGTAGGTAAATACTAGTATAGCTTCTGGGTTATTGAAAATAATCAAACAGTTGAAAGATAAATTGTTAGTTAAAATTCTGTGTCTTATTGTTTTTGTTGATTTTCTTCAACCTTCCCCAGACATGAATTTGTTTCATGTCTTCAGTGATTTTGTACATGTTCGTCGAATATGTGGAAGTTACTACTGTATATGAATGAATAGCAATCACAAGCCATGAATTTTGTGTGTGTACTTAAAATCCTGGATTATGATATGTACTGTAAATGAGTTTATTACATATATTATTAAGGTTGGTCGAGGTATAGCTGTAGCATAATAGAAATACTATTGGAATCAGAGTGAGAAGCCTTGAGTTGGAGTCCACAGCTGCTACTTGCTTTCATTTCCCCATCTGCAAAGTGGGGAAAATATGAATACTTTCCATGTAGAATTGCTATGAGGCTCAAACGAGATAATGTATATGTAGGTAAATATATAAATCATTCAGAATGCTCAAAAAATTGTAAATCATAAAGCACTGTAAGGTATCATGGTATATATGAAATAAGTACATGCTGAAGATTCGCCATCTGTGCATCAGCAGACTAAAGCTGTTTCTAGGATACTAACTGGGTGCACTTTTTAAACTGACAAACAGAACTAGTCTATGCATTGATAAAAAAAGGTTTATGCTTTCCTAAGGAATAGATAGCTAACAAGTGTGAGTGATTTATGTGAAAAAAACTAAAGTTTATTAATAAAATAAATAGCAAGGTAAAAATAATGAGCCTAACAATTACATTTCAAAAAGAATAGGTAATTTTTAACTCAAAAGATTTGTATTATTTTTTTAAAAAAAATTTATTTTAAGGAATCTCTATACCCAAGATGGGACTCAAACCCGCAACTCCGAGATCAAGAGTTGCACGCTCCACTGACAGAGCCAGCCAGGCACCCCTCAAAAGATTATATAAATCTTCACTTTTTACTTTAACCCAAACTTCTTTGGTTGGGAAGTATAACATTAATTTCATTCAAGCATTCTTATAAGAATGTTTTGTTGTCGTTGTTTCTAAATGAGCTAATGAGTCAGACAGTGCCAGGAAGTAAAACACATACTGACGTTACGGCTTCCATGTCAAGGATCTTACAAACAGTACCTCTCCACTGCACAAGTATTGTTGCTTTTTTTAAATTACATTACACTTCAAGAGGATTTTAATGTTGTTACACATTATTTCATGAATGTAATTAGTAAAATTGAAAGTGATAAACTTTCCTATTTTTACTTTATTTGCTTCTGTATTATTTTATTTATCAGCATTTCTCCTTTAAGAGAGGAACAGGTAAGTGAATAGATCTTTTCAATACATGTGGTCATTGTCTGGAAATAGAACCACCCAGAGAACTCTGAGAATGCTTTGAGAATACCAGGACAGTGGGAAGAGTCTCAGAGAAGAGGGCATTTAGGCTGAGCCTTAAATAATCAGTAGATTTACCCATGGAGGAGCAAATGGGGTAGGTCTGTGACTGGTGGAAGACGGAAAGATGTGCAAGGGTGAGGAAGCAGCGTGGCCAAAGGCACAAGGGTACGAAACACTACAGGATGTAGAATTAGAATGATAACCAGTTTAGTATTCCTAGAATATCAAACTCTAGGAGGAGGAAGGCAAGGATGCTTTCTAATAAGGGATGATCCTGTGGCTGGATAACCAGGTCATCAGGGTCTTGCCTGTACCTTGTTCATTATACATGCCTGTTTTCTGGTTTGTTAAACTTTAATGGCAGTTGTCATCAGACAAGGCAACTGTTGTCTGGAGAGGCTCTATCACACAACCTCAAAGGATTTTCTCTTCCTTCCAAAACACCTGCTATTGCCACACAACTGGCTGATAAATACATGGATAACATTATGTTTCTGTTCAAAACTACCAGGAAAGCTGATGTCCCACTCAAGAAGGCGTAAGCTTTGCCTAAGCATCACTTGGGAAAAAGTGTTGCTTAGTTGAGCAATTCAAACTGGGCACAGTATCAAATCCATAAAAAGTATTCCATAAATAGTAGGAGTTTCCGTGGTTGTGTTTATTTTGATAATTGAATTCTCCTTCCTCTGACCCTAGACTTTGTCACTTACACTAAATTCCTGTCACTCTGATCTAATTCATATGTGCTGGACTGTAGGTTGGGCACACTGATAAAGATACAGTAGTATTATTAAATGTGCTATAGTGTGCTAAGACCTGTTTCTAAGGGCTAGGATATATTATAAACATTAAAACAAAAGAGATGTATCTAACTTCAGGCCAGTATAAGAGCTTACACATTTATCAATATCTCTAATTTTTTGTGGGTTTATAGACCTTTTGAAAGAGCTAAAATTTTAGAAGCAGAAGTTTGAAAAAAATCTAAACATATACTTGATATTTCATTATATTTTTTATTCTAGAATATCTTTTTTAAAAGATGGCTCATTAAATATTGCTCAGGTAAATAGGATAATGGTAAAATACACATATAAGATAACAATAACAATTCATTAAACACTTTTGCACTTAGCATCCAGTTTATGAAATAAAACTTTGCCATTACCTTTAAAACTTCAGTGAGTTCCTGAATTTTGTGTATAACATTTTCCTTTTGTTAAAATTTTATCATATGTTTGTCTTTAAACGTAAAATATCTAACCGTATCCACTGATTAGCAAAGCCAGCTCTGTCAAAGTTCAAGTGTTTATTCATGTATGGGAAAGTAGGCTGGGTGGTCTTGACCCTCTGTTGTATGCTATTGGTCTCTTTGTCTTTTCCTATTCTATTTTCAGAGTTTTAGTTATCATAGCTTTGGAAATTTTATACAAATTCTCCATACTTCAATATTTTTTGTTTTCTTTCTGGTTCTTTTCCTCTGCATTCTGGTAAAATGTCTCAATTTTGCCTTTCGTTTTATCGAATCCATTTTCTAAACATCAGTTCCGTTTTATTTAGCATCCAATACATACTTTACTGTTGAAATTTCAATTTTCTTGCCTTTTTTTTTTT